AATATTGTGTTGTCCTAATGCGAGGACAAACTTCTCTTGCATTTTCCGCATGCTCATCTGAATTTCAAAAAAAATGTACTGGATAAAACGCAGTTCCAAAAAAAAAAGAAAAATAATCATCCCAAAATGTTAGGGAATAATTTTTTTCAGAAGCAATATGGGGAAAATAAGAATATTCATTTCATATGAGTATCCGAGTCTATAGATTTAGAGATCATAAATATGGAAAATAATCATGGTTTTTCCATTCAATCCATATATGGTTTTGGAGACCACTCCTTCTCGTGATTCGCTATACCATCTGGATTAGAATTCAAACGAGGAACGTCGTGACGGAGCATGAATTCCCGAACTTTCCAGCGCAGTGACAGACGACGCATTTCTCCTGGAGCCGGATGTCGATCCCATTCAGTTCTACAAAGAATTTAATTATTACCATCTTTTTAGACGAAATATATCTCACTTGTAGAGATGGTACCTAGTAACAGGATCAAACTTGTATGGTACTCTTCCAGGCTTCGGAGACCGAACAGGACGAACACTAGGATCTATGATAAGCTCTCTTGGTTTCTGAACTTCGGATGGATCTGATTCAGTGCTTCTCCCAACTGAAATTGATTCTGCGATGTCCTCTTCGCCCTCCACTTCATCTTCATCGTGCATTTCTTGCTCGCCGGATGTAATTTCATCCTCCTGGAATACAAATATAATCGAACCTTTAAAAGAATACTAACACCAACTTCTTCGTCAGCTACATCTGGAGCTGTAGAATTCAGTTTTTCAGGATCAGTATCAACATTTTCAGACTTTTTGAAAGGTATCCAGTTAAGTTTATTGAAAATTGACTTGATAGAAGACTTAATATTGGAGAGCATTTTTCAAAAAACCACACAAACCTCCTCACTTGGAGCTCGACACCTCTCATATGCTCGATGAATGCTTCGCCACGCTTGATCGATCAGCGACTTGGCTTCGATATTTTCTCGAAGGCTTTCATCTCCAAAATCGTTTTGGAACTCAACGTTTTCGTAGACACACTTCTTTCCTGCTCTTCCTGGAAAAAGAAAAATGGACAAAATAAAACAAAAAACAAAAGTTTCGTTTCAGAAACCAAAATGGAAACAAAAAATTCAATGAGGTCGTTCAGTACGGCGTCAAAGCTTACAGGTACTGTACTTACTTCTAGAAACGATTGGAGATTGGATGGATGCTCTCTCATCAGAGAAATCTCGTTGTCTTTGAAGGAATTGGGCAGCTGGATCGATTGAAAGTGAAGCAAAAAGAGACTCATTGAGTGGATTCTCATCTTCTTCCGAAACACATGATTCTTCGTTCAAATATCTGTTGATTTCTGAGAAGAACAAATTTATGTCATGTTTTATTTGCAATAAATTCTTACCATTTTTCAACTGTGCCAATTGAGCTGTACTTCGAATGTTCTGACCCATTTGGTGGACAATATCCTCGAGCTCTTTTTCATTCGTGAAGTTTGCCATTTTGACTAGATGAAGAAGCTCGATGAAGCGTGATCCGGAAGTTGGTGACTACCCATAAAACTTTTGAGATAAATACTTGGTTGAACAGTTTTCAGCTGATCAATCACCAGTTTTTTGATAAAAATAAACAAAAAAACCCTGTAAACAAGACGGCAAAAACGCCCCAGTGTTGTTGGAATTGAAGAGCGAATTCAAATTCTGAGATTGGCGAAAAAAGTCAGCTGCGTGCGGGGGCTTTGCGGAAAGTGCGCGCCCAGCTTGCCATTTTTCGCTCCGCCCCTTTTATTCCAAGACGTTTTTCGATGTTTTGCTTCTAAAAAGTAGAAAAAGGTTTGTGTAGAATTCTAGGTAGAAGAAGAAAATAAAAAATAATTTTATTCAGAAATGAGTGATAATCATGCCTTCGGGCGACCGGCTGTAGACGATGGACGAGGAGTTGTCGAGACGATGCGAATGGAAGCTACCACAATGTCGAACAATTTTAACGCTGTAAATGATAGTAATAATTCTAAATCGATTCAAAAATATCTGAATCAAGTTTGTATATTTTTCAGGCATCAAATCAGACGTCCATCATCTTGAAGATCTGTCCCAATGTTTTGCAGACATTTTCCGTTCGTCTGATCACTCCGATGTCACTCTTGTTCTCGATGATGGAGCTGAGTTTCCCGCTCATAGATTGATCCTTGCCGCTCGGAGCAGCTTTTTTCGAGCAATGATGTACAACGGATTTAAAGAGAGCCACGAACAACGCGTTTCTCTACATGAAACAAACTCAGTCGCCTTTCGAGCAGTTCTTCAGTACATGTACACTTCAAAAATTGATTTCGCTGGAGTTGAGCTAGATGTCCTTCTTGAATATTTGAGTCTTGCCCATCGGTATGAATTGAGGCAACTGATGACGGCGATAAGTGAGTATTTCAAGGAGATTTTGAAGAATGAGAACCTCTGCAGCATTTTGAATGCTGCCTACTTTTTTCAATTTTCGGATCTAATTGATTACTGTATGCAGTACTCGGATAAACATGCTGATCAACTCTTAGACGATCCGAGTTTTAATAGGCTCTCAGGAGACAGTTTGAAAGAACTTCTAGCAAGAGATTCGTTCTATGCTAATGAGCTGAAAATCTTCAACGCTGTTTGTTCATGGTACGCTACGAATTCAAACATGAAAGCTGTATCAAAAGAATTACTGGATCTTGTCAGACTTCCTTTGATTTCTCAAACCGAGCTTCTCAACTTCGTGAGGCCGTCTGGATTGGTTGATGCTGATGATTTATTGGATGCGATAGAGATCCAAACTCAAAAACCATTTGAAGCACCATACAGAGGATGCAAAAGTGAGTTATATATTTTTGGTGAAACAATTTTCTGACTATTTCCAGGCATCGACACAAATATAATACCACAGTATCCAATAGTGCAACCCTTATCTCGAGAAGTTAGTTGTCGATTTACGAACCAAGAGAATATGAGTGTATTTCATTTGGATCTTGGAAAACCTTTCATTATCAACACGATTATTCTTGAACTGAACTGGAAAGTTGATGTACAAGGATTCTCCTATCAGATTCACGTCGGGATGGAAAATCGGTCGGATGGCCACTGGAAGCTAGTAGCTGATTACTCAAAATACGACTGCCGAGGTACTCAGCGAGTCTTCTTAGAAGATTCTGTGGTCAGGTACATCTTAATACGAGTTAGCGACCCAATGTCCTGTCGAATAGATGGCAGTCGTATTGAAGCAATGTACTCGTCGGAGACGATGCCAGTGGATCCTCACACAAAAATAATTGGTAATTAATTTTTGACTACTGTGGTTCTTAAAATTGTGGTTTTTTTTCCAGCTCCACATAGTAATATCACAACTATTGAAAACCATGCACGGGTGGTCGAAGGAGTTTCTCGCTGCCGAAATGCACTTATCAATGGAGACATTACATCTTACGACTGGGACTCGGGATATACGTGTCATCAAATTGGAAGCGGTGTCATTATGGTACAACTCGCCCAACCCTATATCATCTCTTCGATGCGAATACTTTTGTGGAACTGTGACGATCGATTCTATTCGTATTATGTCGCAGTGTCAACGAACCAAGACAGTTGGGTCACAATTATTGATCGTACGAATGAAGAGTGCCGCGGATGGCAAGAACTTTTATTCGATCCTCTCCCTGTTGTCTACATTCGTGTCGTGGGAACAAGAAATTCAATCAACGAAGTCTTCCATGTTGTACATCTAGAAGCCCCTTCAAATGTTCCAATCGCCATAAAGTAATTATTACGGGTTACAATTCTTCCTTTGTGTCGTATTATCTGAATTTGTAATAAAGCTTGCATATATGTAAATATCTCTTTGCAACAAATGAATGAGATCAGTGATAGAACCTGAAAATTGATATTTGGCAAAATCATCAAACTTTGAAGGAATTAATATTATTTCGTAACGGATTTCAGTTATATACATAAAATGGCAAAACGGGAACTCCGACGGAGTCTAAAGTCGGAAATAGATAATCTCTTCGCATCACCGGAAACTGCAGAAAACGAATTTCAACGTAAGAGCCTTTCGGAAGATTAATATTAACAACTTTGAAAATTTCAGAAGCCACAAAACGTCAGAAAAGAGATGACAGTGAATCTAGTAGTACACCAAAAAGCAGTGGAAGTTCGCAACCTTTTGATCCGAACAGACCGAGAGTGACACTTCATTTGAATCGATTAGGAAACAGTTTTAGAATAGATTGTGAAAGTTAGCATTTGCAGTTTTTGTTTTTATTTAGTACATATAATTTTCAGCTCTTGCCCATTTCATTCACTATACTCTTTTTGGAAATTCGCTAATGAAACCCCGATGGACAGCCATTGCCAATCATCGCAACATCCCTCAAACTCTTGTGATTCGGATAAATGTACAGGAGGATTTTTTTGTAAGTTTCTAAAACTTCATTTTGAAAAAAAATGAAATATTTCAGATGACAACTAACCTAAAATTTCTGAACGATTTTTTCGAAAGACGATGGATTGAACTGGATTCCGAGATAAGCGATCGTAGTCTGTTCTGGAATAGTATGATGAACGTTCGGTTGACACTGCAAGAACAGGTTCGGAGAAAGTCTGAGAAGATGCAGAAGACGTTTGACATTCTCGGAAAACATGACAAGTCGAATTTCATTCTGACTACTGCACAACTCGCTGATAGAGGTTTTCCGTTTCCTGGAGAAGAAGGCATTGTGCCGACGAAGCGCAGGTGGGTTGCTCAACTTCAGAAGCATTTATTCAAAGCAAAATAGGCTTTCAGATACAAAAAACTGTCACCGTCCTCTCCATTGTTCTCCGTGGACTGTGAGATGTGCGAAACTACAACTGCAAATCGAGCTCTGACTAGAATTTCCATCGTCGACGAAGAACAGAATACGATCCTGGATACTCTCGTAAAACCTGATGGAGATATCACTGATTATGTCACTCGATATTCTGGAATAACCGAAAAAATGATGGAGGGTGTGACGACGACGTTAGCAGATGTACAGAAGGCAGTACAGAATTTGTTGCCTCCAGATGCGATTCTTGTTGGACACTCATTGGAATTTGATCTCCGAGCGATGAGGATGACACATCCGTTTTGTATCGATGTTGGACACACTTTGAACTACACTAACAGCGCGAATGGAGGAAGGAATAGCCTGAAGAATTTGTCTGAATTCTTTCTCGGAGTACAAATCCAAACCAAGTTCGGTCACTGCTCTTATGAAGATGCTTGGGCAGCAATGCGTTTAGCTCAACTGAAGATAGAAAAAGGATTGATGTTCGGAAACACAAGTTTCGGATGGAAGTATTCAAGAGATGCCAATGGAGGCGTTGTTGAGGAAGCTTTGCAAACAGAAGTGGTATCAACAGTTCCTTGCTCTGGATGCACCCAGCCGACAGTTGTTGGATGTACTGTTTTGAATTGTCGATGCCGATTCGTGAATGGTCCATCGAAATGTGTTCATTGTGTCAAATTAGGAGAAAGCATCGAAGGCGACTTTGACTGGCAAGATACTCTTGATTTAGATTTGGACAAAACAACTTCTCCGATCGAAAGCTATTTGAAGAAAGACAAAATGACGTCACTAATGTGTGCATTTGATAATTCCTTTTTGGATAAATTACCTACATTTTCGAAAAAGTGAGTTTGATCTCTAAATTCTTACCCATTATTTCAATTACAGAATCCGATCAAAGCAATCATCGTCTTTCCCGTCCTACGATTCTTTTATCAACAGTGTTGCTTCGGAAATGTTAAATGATAGTGGAATTTTTCTTGAAATCGAAAAGGAACGCGTTGAGCCGTTAGAAGATTCAGCAGACGAGACCGGCGACGTTTTCGACAATTCGGAAGGCCTGAACACGATGCTCGAAAAACTTGTGGGCGCAACAACTAGAAACTCGTTGGTTATAATAATTGCTTCGAGTCCCAGCAAGAATATTCTATTTAATAGAATCAAATAATTTTTGTTGTTGTTGTTCTGTTGGATCTCTACTCATAAACTTGATCTTACGTTTTTTTTTTTAATTCAAATCAACAAAAACAACAAGGATAACAACAGTAAAATAGAAGGGGATGGAAATTATTTAGAAGAGGACTTGCTGAGCTTTGCTTTCTTTTTCAACTTTTCGATATCGACTGGCACATCGTTGGCTCGTTTCTTAGTCTGCTTCTCTCGCGGAGCCTCTTCTTTGGCTTGGTAGACTTTCAATTTCTGCTTCTGTTTCTCTACCGTCTTCACAGCTGAGGCTTCCAACTTTGCTCTGGAACGATATACATGAACATGTTTTTTGCGAAATTGAAAGTATTCTTATGGGGTTATTCAGGGAGTCGGCAAAAAAGGAAAACAACTTGGGTACCGAGCTCGAA